ACATCCTGTTGCAGACGTTGAAAGTGCTGATCAAATATAAACCAAGATTATGTTAATGCACTGACTATTTCTTGCCTAAAATCTTTTCAGAAACATATTTTTAGCTTACTGTTCAGCTATAATATGTGACCAGGCTGATAATGCGCAGCCAATGAGAGTAGCTCAATTCGCAGTACGTCACCACATTGTGACAACCATGACGCCAAACTTGAGGCTTCAAAGCAGTACTCCACAAACAAATGGGTGACGTCACGATAGGCTCACTCTTGCCTTAAAGTTGTGATTTCATGATGATTTTATCTTTCTCGTACAGTATTGTTTGGAGTCAGCAGTCCTGCTAGCATGGCTGAAGACTACAGCACAGTCTTTATTTCAAGAACTCAAAGTTGGTGGAACCAAAGCTAATGGAAAATGGGTCTGGACTCTCTATGTGGTTTTGTGAACAAAGGAATTTTGACATTGCGCATTATGTGCATTACCATCCTGCTTTAACATTTACAGTTTCCATTTAGAGGTGCTTTTACTCAAAGATGGAGTTCTTTAATTAAAAAAGTGTAAGCAGTGCACCACTTTAAAATCAGATTGAGTCCAGCTCATAGAGCAGCAGCAGAGGCTCAAAGTAGTTTGCTTCTGTGTCAGTCAGTCAGAATTCATGTTGCTACTCTGATACATTTGTGTTACAGCTTTCCTTTAGGTTGCCTTATTACTGCCTGACCTTCATGGACAGTTTTATTAACTCCATGATAACTTCAAATTAAAAATTGTTTCCAGACTGTGAGGACTGTTTTCATGTCAGTAAATTAATTAATTGTAACAGTACATCTAATATAAAAAACAAATGCTGTTGCTGATGATCACGTTTCAGTAATTTATCAATAGTTGAAATGTTTCTATGCTATGATATAGTCACTTGTGTTTATAGTTTATCACATAGGCTACTATGTGATATACTATACTATTATTTTATACTTTGAATGATTTCATTTACTCCCTAGATCCACCATCCAGAATAATTGTACCTAGAAATAAAGATTAATTGGTGGAATTAAACAATAATGATGATGTATAATAAATAATATGTCAAATTGAAAGTATAAAATACACATATACTTTCTCTCTCTTTCTCTCTTTCTCTCTCTCTCTCAGTGTCAGTGGATGTCAGTGACGTTGGACAGACTTCAGAGAACAGAGGACCTTCCTCCTCTCACTGTGAAGGTAAACCTTCTGTGTATTCTCTGATATGTATGGTAGCCCTGAAAGACCTTGTAGTTTTTAAGTAAAAAAAACAAAACAACTAAGTGTGAGTAAGTTTAACTTTCTCTGTGAGACATTATGACTCCATTATAACTGAGTAAAAGCAAAGACAGGAGAACTCAATGAGATTTAGTCAAAGCAGCATCAGAGTCCTAAAAAGCATTGAATAAAGAGGCCTTGGTCTTAAACTCATTTGTAAAGGTTGCATTTTTTGGCTGCCATAGACAGTAACATAGGTTCTACATTTGTTTCTGTGGCTTTAACACATTACATGTAAACTAAAGTGGGATTGTAGTGTAGTGGATTTTTCTGCAGGAGGCTGTTCAGTCCTTTCAGTCAGAAACATGAGACCTGTAGCAAACACTGTCACTACTGCTAGTTACAAAGATACACAAACTAGCAAAGATTTAGATTAAGATAGAACTTTTATTTTGTTTTTATTACTTGTTTTTTAATTTTGTGTCGATGCAATTACAAGACACCAGATTCAACCAAGTCAGGGGAAGAATACAGCATATACATTGACAAGCAACAAATAAAGAAACTATAGAAACAACTCCTATATTCAGATTACCATTAAATACTACAGATCAAAATCACAGACAGAGACTTACTATATATAATATTTATTACTGAAGAATCACAATTAATTCTAATCAATCTATCTTGCTTTTCTTTTCCAGGCTTTTCAGACAGCTAGCCAACTTAAACAAATCAAAATGAAAAAGGCAGTGAAATTTTTGTTCATCAGGGTGCCAGGATATTTAGGGTTTTGTTGCATTATTTCAAGGAACATTAAGTCTCTTAAGTCATCATAATTTATGCAGTACAAAAGTAAAATGGGACTCACGTTATGGATCGGCCAACATCAGTGGCCAGAGGAAGAATACCAGCTCTCAATTGTGAAACAAAAGATCTTTGACTACTAGATAGTTTGGCTTTGACAAAAATGTAGTAAAGCTGTTTCACCCATGGAGACCTGTGTGTTTGATTGGTTAATCCATCTGTCATTTGCCTGTGATTCATTTTGGCAAGGCCATGTAAATGAAATAATTATATGATTAGGAATTATGCAGCTGGGAAGTACTGACAAAACTAAATATGTCAATAAATGAATGTACTTTTACCCTCCTTTTGTCATTCTTCAAGAGTTTCTGGCTGCTCTTCATGTCCATCTGACATTCATAAACTCTGGTATCAATAATGCCTGGCAACGAACAATCAACCTCCCATCAGTTGAAACAAGAAAAGATGAATCTGCAGAGACACAG